CCGAGGAACCCATTTTCAAGGGCAATTTGATAAGTTCCTCGCTCGCTATGGTGTCACCCACCGGGTGTATCACCCCCCAAACTAGTGGACAAGTCGAGCTACCAAATAGGGAGCTCAAAACGAATCCTAGAAAAGACCGTGGATCAATCCCGCAAGGATTGGTCCACAAAGCTCGATGATGCTCTATGGGCATCCTGCACGGCCTACAAAACACTAATAGGCATCTCGCCTTAACATTTGGTGTATGGCAAAGCATGCCACTTACCCGTAGAGCTAGAGCACAAGGCTTTCTGGGCCACAAAGCTTTTGAATATGGACCCTAGTTTGTGTGGAAATGAAAGGAAGCTGCAGGTGCCTGAACTGAGGAGTGGCGTCTCCAAGCCTATGAGAACACCAAGATTTACAAGGAGAGGATGAAGCGCTTTCATGATGCTCGTCTGAAAAGAAGGAAGGATTTCCAGTCGGGAGACCAGGTTCTCTTGTACAACTCTCGGTTGAAGTTATTCCCGGGGAAGTTAAGGTCAAAATGGTCTGGCCCGTATGTGGTAACACAAGTATTCACATACGGGGGTGGTTGAGATCTCCCACCCAGAGGAAGGAACTTTCAAAGTAAATGGACACCACGTAAAGCGTTGCCTTGGAGGAGAGGTAATGCCACAGAAGGAGGTGGTGTTCCTGCAAGATGCATGACCCGGAGTCTCCGTCTAGCTTAAGACGTTAAAGAAGCGCTTGTTGGGAGGCAACCCAACGAAGGTTAGCAAGTTTGACCTCCTACTACTATGTATTGTGCTTGTAATAACCTCGCCTCGAGCGAGTTGTATTGTGCTTATGTGTGTTTTTTGTTGTCTCTCCTTAAAGCTTAAATTATCCTACCCCGGTTCGATTCCTACATTCACTCACCAAGCCCAAGCGGTAACATCACTCTAGGGGGGGGGGGTAGTATACTAGTATGCTTGTGTGAGTGAGATGTTGCTTGGAGCCTTTTGTATGCCCAAATTTCAAAAATTTGAGGGCTCCAAGCAACGTTTGCATGTTCAAAGTGGTCGGATGGTGGGAAATTCTCGTGTCTGTGGCATTGATTTTGAATTGTTGCATGTGATCGAGTATATCCTATGATGATGACTGAGAAGTTCATTAGGATAGGGAAAAATTTTAGTTCTCAAGTGCGCATAAATGAATGGATGTCTTGACTTGATCGCTTGTTGTTTACAATTGCCATGCATTCGTGTTTGTAAATTGGAATAGATGGTTGGGTAACTAGGTAGCCTGTGAGCTTTGAGCCGTTCATTTCTTTTGGTGTGATAGTTCCCTCTTACCACAATGTGTAGCATCACATTGTCACTACTCACTAGCAAGTATGATGGAGGAATAGGATGAGTCCACGCCCAAAAGTTGATTGTCCAGAAATGCATCATCCCTTAGTCAACCCCTTTGAGCCTTGTGATTCCGTGGGTCGTTCTCAATTTAGGAGCTTCGTTCGTGTGAGCTTAAAGGTGTTAGTAGAACGACCCCCAAATCCTTTCTTTGTGTCTAAACATGAGTCGCCCGTGTGTCTCGTAGCTCTTACCGTTGAGTTTCCGTTGAGGTTCTACATAGGATGTTTGTGTGTGGTTCTTGCTAGGAATGCAAAATGGAGTGTAGTGTTGGAGTTAGTTCCTCAAAAAGAGAGCATTGGTTGATAAATGTTTAGGTGGCAAGTGTTTTTACTCTCTAATACCCCCCTCAAAAAGAAAAAAGAAAGAGAAAGAAAAGAGAAGAGAAACAAAAAAAGAGGTAATAAAATGGGCTAAATAAAGTAGAGAGTGCCACGAAAAACCAAAGTACATGCTCTAGGAGGGGTTTCTTGGTACTCAAGCCATCTAAACCCCCACATTGTTTAGAACTCCTTCACTATCAAACCTTAAAGAACTAGCAAGAGTTGACCGAGGAAGAGTGCTTCAAGGTAGTTCATGATGGGTGATAGTTGGAAGGGAGAGATAAGCATTTTGGGCGATGCTAGTGGCCTTGGATTGAAGAAAAGTGTTTTAGTCGAAACCATAGACCCTTCGGGTTTAGGTTGAAGATGTAGAACCTCACGTCATGATTGCCACCACCCAAAAAGCCTTTTCCCCTTGTCCAAGCCAATCGCCAGTCATGTGAACCGGTTTCTAAGACCTCCAGACGAGCTATTGGTGACAACCACCCCGTGAACTCTAGCGTTTAGAGGTTACCGTCGTGGTATAGAGACGATAGGGCCGAGAGGTTACGATTGTGTACATCTTTTGCACCAAAAAGGTCCCGACCCCACTGGTCTTGAGAGTGAGTGATCCATTCTTGTTTTACTTACCATTTCATACCCCGGTGAGGACCTTCGTTGCCTTTCCATTTGTTCCTCGGACTTGAATTCCATGCATGGTTGGTTGTTGTCGATAAGTGGTTTTGTTGAGACTTGCATTTATCCATGAATAAGTTGAGAACTTTTTTGGTGTCTTTGAATGTCGTTTGTGGTGGATGTCGGTATTGCTTCCAAAGGTTCATGTGTTGATTGTCAATAAACATCGAGAATTCTCACTTCGTGTCCTTTGAGTTGTCCCCAAAGCATTTGTGTAGGTTGAAATATTACCGTGTGCGTGAAATGGTTTGCTTGGGGACAAGCAAACGTCTAAGTGTGGGGGAGTGATTCGGGCCTAATTGCACATGTTTTCCCCATGTTTTACCTAGATGTTTGTGCCAAATTCACTCCTTAAAGGTTGGTTTTACGCTAGGTTCTTCGTGTTTGAGTGTGTTTCGGGATTTAACAGGTGAAACCAGCTTCACAGTCGAAAGATTGCCGAAAAGATTCGAAAACCGGGAGAAGAGGTGAAAAAGAGACAGTTCATGGCTAACTGAAGGAGTTCACGGTCATGCAAGACCTTGAAGAAGGGGAGTTGACCGGGAATCCCAAGGCGTCCAGAGCCAATGTGAAGGTTACTAACGCGAGGTGAGTTCACAGTCACTAAGACGCTGAACACAGGCAGTTGACCGTAAACAGACGTGAGCGATGTAGAGTGTTTTGGCACACGCATTGAGTTCACGGACCCGTTTGATGGTTCACGACCGTGAACTCATCTCTTCTCAGGTTTAAAAGCTGAGCTGAAAGGAGGAGAGAGGGGAGAGCCCACTTTTATGAGAAACACCTTCTTCAGCATTCTAGTGAGAGAAACAGAACCAAAGGGAAGAAGAAGGTTAGGGTTTGACTTCAAGGCAGATTTCTGGAAGATTTCCCCAAGGAAACCTCAATGGTCAAGAAGAGAGGGAGCATCCTCAAAGATGGTTTCCTCCTTTTTCCCTTTTGTTCTTCCCACTTCTAGCATGGGGTAGACCTCCTTTCACTTGGGTGTAGTGAAACCCTAACTCTACCATGTAGTTTTCTTGTATGTGTTTTGGATGATTGTCATTGGGTATTGTTCAATTCAATGATTGAGGCATTATTCACCATGATTGTGCGTGCTTGTGCTTAGTAACTTATTCTTCGTTTAGTATTCATTTCGTTTTCTGATTTATGGACAACAGAAAAGGGAATATGAAGAAAAGGAATCTCTCATTTCCTGGAAAACAAAATCTAAAGAAAACTTGTTTAGCTGTGAATTTAGAGGGTTCTGAAACTGAAACATGGAAATGAAAACTTGTTTAGATACAATTGTTACAAACTGATATATGTTTTGAATAGGAATCATGTTTTAAACAAATAAACAAAACAATAGTACATCAACCAATATTTTAAGAAGTACAACTACAATATCAAATATCAATTAAGTGATAACATCAAATAATTTCTGCTTGAAAGTCATTCCGCAACTTGTCTGCTATTTCACCACGTCGAATATCTATCACACGAGTTTGAGTTGAATCGATATCATACACTTCAATTTGTTGTACTCCTTGGACTTCTTTGTCACATTGTTGGTCTTCATCAACAATGATGGTCGTGAAAACCATTTTCTTTATCCTCAACTGATTAAACGTGTTCTTTAAATCATCAATACTGACCTTCCTAAACAAATCCCTCGTATTAGATATACAACAAGTAACCAAACACCAACAAAAGATTCAACATAATCAATTAGAAGGGACATGCATGGTTTAATTAGCGGGACACATGGGTTAATTAGAAGCTATGCTATGTCTAAAAAAAACTATGATGCGCTTTTTTAAAGAAGAAGGGGGCTGCTTATGGTTGAGTAAAATAGAAGATGAGAAGAGGGGAAAGGGTTTGGGGGTGGGTTTGCCGTCCAAATGAAAGATACGTATCATAAATTGATAATGGGGTGGTTGTGGGATTCGATTGGTAGACCTCATTAATGAGGAAGGGGGAGAAACCCGCCCGTTTCCTTTCCATAAAACAAATAAAATGTGTTTCCCGAAACTGATACTGTTTTCCTACTATTTGATCCCCCAAATGAAAAATGATGGAATGAGAATGGAAAGTAAACACAATTTTTTGTTTTCATTTCTAAATATATGAAATGGAATGAGAAATGAGGAATAAGAATGGTTACTAAACTGGGCATTAGGGGTTGTGCATGTTTTGTGCTTAGCATCCTTAGCATTGTGCATTTAGGTGCTTAGAAACCTAGGGATTGTGCATAATTGTGCTTAGAACCCCTAACTTTGTGCATTTAGGTGCTAGTAATCTAATTTGCCACCTTAGCCTAGTTTAGAGAGGAAAATTCCCCTTTCAAGGGAGACTCAATCGAGTTGGTTTTCCTTTCGCTTTCTAAGCCACCTAAACTAGGTTGAGTTAGGGAAACCCTCAATATGGAGTTAAACAAGTCGATTAATCGTGATTAAACCGTCCGAACTTAGAGTTGAGTGAGGGAGTAAGTCGATTACCGATTGTCTAAACCGAGAGGGTCGAGTGACACGTCCTTTCATCCTCACCTTGGTTTAGCAATTGAGGCTGTGGTCTCCGACCACGTATGCTTTCCTCTGTAGTTCACGATTAAAGTGCCCAAGGCAATCGTTCCAATCCACATAGCATGGTAGCGGTTAGGGGGAAGCAACACCTGAGTGACTTTCCCACAAAAGAGTTTTCAAACCCAATAACCTTTGCTTTCTTTTATTTCAATTAGCAAACCTTTTAAACCAAAGTTTAGTTGCTAGATAATGATTTCAACAACGGAAGTAGGGATGGACGGACCGGCCCGGGTCGATATCTAAATACTTGCCCTATATTGCACCCGATCAGAGTTTAAAAACTTGGGCTCTAATTAAGGTTTTATTGTGGTGTAGTTCCGTGCGAGTCATTACCACTACGGACGATAGCTTCCGCACACCTTAGCATGCCATGATGGGAGGCAGATACATTGGCCTCAGCTGGTTCTGACCCACCCACACAACCACTCTGGATGGATTCGCTAGAGCATGATCCTACTTTATTTGAGTTAATGTGGACGTCCCAGCTTGAGGGGCAGGTGTTCGGTAGTGCACATGATGAGTATCCTCAGTCTCAAGGGAAGGGTTTGTTCTATAGTGCGCATGATGGGCATCCCCAGTCTCATGTGCAGGGTTTGTTCTGTACACGTGATTATGATGATACAATGGAGGGAGATCGGACCAACGCTGAGCGGAGGCCTGCGCTGGACAAGCATGCATCGAAGTGTGGTACTAGAGGCCATCCAATGGATCATCATGGTGGTCGTTGTGTTGGTTTTCATGGTGGTCATTAGTTTGACTATTATATTATCAAATGTTTGAGACTATTTCATTTCTCATTTTCCCTTGTGATGTATTATGTTACTATTATGAACTTTGATGGTTATTTTTCCCTTGTGATGTATTATGATACTATTATGGACTTATATGGTTATTTATCATTTCGTGGTGTATCATGATACAATCATGGACTATTTATCATTTCATTACGTGTTATGGTACTATTATTGTCATGTATGATGCTATTGTCTAAAATGAAAATTTGAACTATAAAAACAACAACAACAACAAGTACTAAATTTGATAAAAGTTCTAACAACTACTTCAAACAATAACAACAACATCGTTCAAAAGTTCAAACAACTACTACATTTGATAAAAGTTCCAACAACTACTTCAAACAATAAGACCTACTACTTCGTTCCAAAGTTCCAACAACTACTCCAAACAACAACAAATAAAAGTTCCACCAAACTACCGACCATGTTTATTACCACTACTTCCTTTTTTACTACCTCTCGAACATCGTTGGCCACCACTTCCTTTTTGCTGGCTCCCGCTACCACTTGCTTGGCCACCACAAGTTGATGCATTATGTCCAGATTGGTTATAGTTTCTACACACTTGTTGAGCTACACCCTCTCTTGTCCTATCATCTTTTTGTGAATTATTGTTGGTCGTGGCCTCCCCGTCTTCCTAATCATGTGCACATTAGGATGGAGTGTAGGGCCATTGTGCTTCTTCCAACCCTTAGGTTCACCAAGAGGTTTGCAACTTGTCCAATAACAAGCCAATACTCTTTCAAGCTTGTAGATGTCGTTTACAAACCTATATGGGTTAGCCCCCATTCGGTTGCAAGCTGCAATGGCATGAGAGCAAGAAATTTTATTTCCTTGTAATTTCCCACAAGTGCAAAACCCCACCCGATTGTTGTTGTCAAAGTGCATTGTGAGTGTGTTTGAACCAGTCATGTTGAAATTATTGGGAGGAGTCTGAACTACATAGATGCCCTAACGTCGATCTAACCCCGTCACAGAATGTCCAACTACCTTTTGTGCCCATGGCTTCATAAGATCTTTTCATGTCGTGGTTTACTGTGAATGACCATTTTTTACTTGTGCTTCTGTTTCCAACCTCATCTTATCGATTTCTCCAATAATCGCCAATAAGTATGTTGCATAAGAGAAGCTACAGGAAGTGAACAAATACCTTTGAAAACACCATTCATGCTCTCTGCCATGTTGGATGTCATGATAGACCATTGATGCCCACCATTATGGTTATCACATGCTAAGCGATTTGATTTTGGTTCACCCAACTATTGTATGAAACATTACTATCAGCATCTTCTTAAATTGCTCAACTTGACGATCGAACTTCTCCAAGCATTTTTCTCCAGCTAACACAATAAATAACCACCCAAATTTGATATATTCATGACAAAATTAAATGAAAATAAATAATACATAACAATAAATAACCACACGAGTTAGATATATTCATGACAAAATTAAATGAAAATTAATAATACATAACAATAAATAACCATAACAATGAAGGCTTACCGACTCAAAACACTTGATTATACATAATCTTGCTTTTAGTCTTCCATTGCAAGTTGCTTGCATAGTGTCGCATGCACCACCTCCACTCTCAACCTCATCCGATGTCACTCATGGTTTCATAGAGTCCCACATGTCTATATGAGATGATGCAGACATAATTCGGTCGCCAAACCTTGAAGGTTTCTTATGAACCATGGCCAACTATCGGTATTCTCACTCTCCACTATGGCAAATGCAATTGGAAAAATCTTCTTCTGGCCATCAAATGAGCTTGCCATGAGTAGCACTACTTTATACTTTCTAGTAAGAAATGTTCCATCAACAACCATGACTCCTGGACAATTTTTGAATCCATCTATACAAGGTCCAAAGGATCAGGATACTCGCTAAAAGATCAGATGACCTGGGCGTGATGAAGGAATTCTTACCCAATCAATCACTAATGTTGGCATTTTTCTCTTTACCACCCGCAAGAGCGTTTGCAAATAATCGTAGGATTCTTCCCAATTCCATGCAACTTCTCTTTGTTTTCCATACCAAGTCTTCGTGTAAGTAACTTCCATATGAAACTTATCTTTCAATTCAGCTTGCATAGTTAGAACACTCAGATTTGGTTGGGCACATATCAAATGTCTCACGGACTCAGATATGACATCGGCATCAAGATGACGATGATCCGCTGGTTGAGTCGTACTGCAACAAGAATACATCCACCCGGCCTTTCTCACGGTCCATTTGCTTCCAACATCTCGACATCCAAACTGCACCATCCAAGCACAATTGTCATCCTTGTGCTTCAAGCATTTGACTTTCCAGATTAAAGGTGTCGACTCCACCACGACATACTGAAAGTTGTGTTTTGGTGCGTGATATTTAATCGCCACCTGTGCAAAGTGTTTGGAGTGAAATATCTACCCCTCGTAGAATTCTCATTCGAAACTAGCAACAATAGGCACTGGAATTACGCCATATGAATAAGCATAAGATAATTCATCGTCATCTTCATTACCCTGCAATTAATAATCTAGAGAATCATTAGGCTCTTCTTCATCCTCCTCCTCATCTTCCTCCTCTCCGTCATCATAGTCATGATCAGATGGCACACTCGATGTCTCATCTTCACCATGACTAATCTCAGCATATATCTCAGCACCCAAACAATAAGGGTTTTGTGCCATAAGATTGAAAAGCACATTCAAGCTATTATCATCCACAGTAAGAATCGCATAATGAAATAGAACACCATTATGCCATTCTGGAAGTTTGTAAGTGAAACCTGTGATCATATCACTATCTTGTACTGTTTCGTCATTACGCCGTATCCTCGGAACTAGATTCTCACAAAATTGGTGATATGTCACCTTGCATGAAACTGCCAAATGAAAGCTTCTACCACCAACGAAATCGACGCCCAAATTGTTCAGTACTATTTTCGATTTCTACCAAACGATTAGTTCAAATTGTCTAAGATCACTACATAAAAAAAATTCACTAATTACTAACTAAACAAAATCATAATTAAATTTTAAGAATCTAATTAAAAAAATAATCGTGGCTCTTACCTAGCCATCTTTGCAGCAACCAGTAACACTTCGCAACATATATTTTTTGTGGTGAGATACTCGAATTGAAACCCACTTATAATAGTTTTGAGAAAGAGAATCGTCTTGAGATGGAAAATAAGTGAATATGCGGGAGTGGGCTGTGTAATCCAGTCTTTAATGGCACCCAAGTGGATCCGCGCGAGAAGGTGTAAAAAACAGCCAAGGGACCAGCGTGATCAAGTGTTTTATTTTACTTAGCTCGCGTATAGATAAGATATTTAGCTGGCGCGGATTGTCATTTCTCTACCTTTCTCAGGGAGCGGTTAGTGTGACTACCCCCTTAAGGGGGTCTGATTTTTGACACCCATCTTCTTTACCGTTCATTCTTATTAGTGTTAATCTAATGGTAGGAAGTTAACAGTTGATAATTTGTAATTAATTATCCTAACATACATTGGAAAGGGAAAGAAATTGTTCCCACACATAATTAAAAGTAGTAAGGTTTTTATCTCCCCCTTTTATCTTTCCTAAACGTCTCATTCTCTCTCCTTGATTTTCCTCTTCCTCTACTCGCTGCCGTCTCCTCTTCCCAGCCATAGTCCATGTTTTCCGATCGTCGACGCACTGATAAGATCCTCTCCCTATGACACTACAAATGGATCAACAGATAAGACGACAACGCTTCTCACCTTCCCGGCAAAGACAATGGCCCTCGTCCCCTTCCTGCGCCGGTTCTCATTTCCTTCCGGGGAAGACGACGGCGAAAAATCTGAGGTATCTCTCTCCCCCCAACTATCTCTCTACCCAAACCCAAATCTCGGTTTTTTGTGTAGTGTTAGTACTAGTGCAATGGTCTCTTCCTTACCCACATATGTGTCTTTGACTTTACATATCTGAAATTTTTCATGTGATATTAGTACCAGTGATAGCTTTGTTTCTATCACTGAAGTGGTAGTTCTGTAACAAATTTGTCGAAGGTGTGTCTATGACTGGACTGGTATATAATGTTGTTTATGGCTAGTAAAAGTACCACTCCAATGTCAGTTTTGATTTCACATTGTTCGTTGTGCAACTATTCACTGGAATGGTATGAAATGCTTCAGTATGGTTAATAACAGTTCCACTACAATGATAGTTTTGTTTGAGTGTCATTTATTTGATGTACCACTAATTTGGTATCTGTGCAGTGATAATTTTCTTACATGTTGATCTCTTATATCTATCACTGAGTTGATAGTTCTGAGTATCCTTGGATGCAGGAAAGGACAAGATCGGATGAAGAGAGCGTATCCTTGGGTTCCTAGAGGGAAGAGGCATGAAACATATCTTCCTCGTGATGTAGAAGTTGTTAAGATCATCCCCCGATTGCGGGTATCACAAGAAGTGATGCCGTGAGAGCTGGGATAATGGACAACAAGATAGGGAAAGAGGAAACGTACTGATTATGTTATCGGCTAGAAGTGCAGCCTCAACTCTATAATTCAAAAAAAAAAAAAAAAAAATTCCGTCGTATTACCCAAGTGACCCAATCATCCTTCGGCACCTGATTGATCGTTATTTAGGCTTTCCACAAACAGTTTTCTAGTGATATAATTTTTATCTATTACATTGTTGGATATTTTTTGTTGTTGGCATTTCCCTTTTTTTAGAACACATTGTGCTCCACGGTTAGTGGTGATAGTAATAAAAAGTTGATGGTTTGTTTACGTATCAGATTGGTTGTATATATATCTTTGCAGTGGTACATGTATCTGTTAAGTGGTTCAAGTATCAGTGCAATGGTATTGTGTGTCAGTTTAATAATATATGTATCAGTTGCAGTGGTACATGTATCTATTAAGTGGTTCAAGTATTAGTGCAATGGTATGTGTCTCAATTCAAAAATATATAACTATCAGTTCAATGATATATGTATATGTTCAATGATACATGTATAATTTGCAGTGGTACATGTATCTGTTAAGTGGTTCAAGTATCAGTGCAATGATATGTGTGTCAGTTCAATAATATATAACTATCAGTTCAATGATATATGTATATGTTCAATGATACATGTATAATTTGCAGTGGTACATGTATATGTTAAGTGGTTCAAGTATCAGTGCAATGATATGTGTGTCAGTTCAATAATATATAACTATCAGTTCAGCGATACATGTATCACTGCAATGGTATGTGTATCAGTTCACTGGTATATCTATCAGTTCAGTAATACATGTACCATTTCAATGGTCTCCAAAGTATATCTAACACTGTAATGAGAACATTTATGATGAGTTTCGATTTTGATAATGGTACAAGTACAAAGTATCAAACACTCCAAGTGGGTGGTCACATTTTGGTGTGGAAAGTATGACTTGAATAGTTGCAATGGTACTTGTATCAGGTTAGTGGTACATATACCACTTAAATAACATATATATCAGTTCAGTGGTACATGTTCACGGCAATGCAGCCGTCTTCCTGATGCTATAGGGTTGCACTTCACGGCAGGGAGCGGTGAGAAACGACCCGCCGCCGCCCTCCATGTTCTTCTTCATCTCCGACAGGTTATTCCTCGGCGGCCATCAGTCCATCATGCGGTCGGGAAGAGAGTTCGATCTCGTCTTCACCTCCATCATTCGATGCCGTCATAGGAGCAGCCGTTCTTGGCATGCCCAGAACCGCCGTACAAAATCTTAGATCTGTATCCCCTCCCAGCGTGGCCTTCATCGGTTTGATCTTCAACGATATCCCCTGCGTCTTAACTCTTAAGCCAATAATTTTTCATTAATACTCACCCAAAGATGAAGGACATATGTATAGTTGCTGGAGGGGTGTCAAAAACCCAACCTTTTGAGGTTAGCATAGTATCCTATTCCCTTTCTCAAGCCAATATTAGAGCCCAAAAGTGCAAAGCCCAATACCACGCTGCAATTACATATCCGCAATACTGGCGGCCGTTTTGGCGGTGTCCCGTCGCCCACGTTGCCCAGTAGCTTACGTGGCCGGGGAGTGGGAGGTAGGCACGAGCCTCTCCTCTTCTCCGCTCTTCGTTTCCGTTGATTCTCTTGCAGGGGTTCCGAAATCTAAACTAGAGAGCAGAGAATAAACCAGAAGAAGAAAGTCGGCAGCTTTGCAATAGAAGATTAGCTTGTCGAGGCCATGATATTATAGTCACTACGCGAAACAGAATCGGGTCGAAGAAAAGAAAAATTTCCCATGTCGAGATTCTCATTGATTCACCGGATTACACCATTTTTCGCCGCTCGGATTCGGCAGAACCACAGGCTTCTAAGTTCTTCTTCCTCCTCTCTGCTCCGCCAAGCTCCATCCCTCGAAGAATCCGTTCACCTGACCGAAAATTGCATCCGGGTATATATTCAATCGTCTATCTCGTTGGCTTTTCCTTTCTAATATCTTGATGCTCTGATTGTGATCTGGTCTAACTTGGTGCTTCAATTGGGGTTACTTTCTTTTGGCGGGAGAGGGCAGTAGAATACGAACCTCTTCGCTTTTGTTCCTTCCGCAAAACCTCTCAGTTCTGCCAATCAACTTAACGATAGAAATATTATCGATAGACCGCTTCATGGTTTCATTTTATGAAGCTTTCTTTTGTAGTATATTTGCTATATGATTTGGCTTATCCCTTCGAATTCGTTTGTCAACTGGACATGTCTATTTGTATCATCATTTGGTGGTTTCGCTAGAGCTGATTGTGGTTCTCGTCCTTTCTCGGCCTTATTTGGAACCTGATTTCATTCTAATATGATGTATGAAGAAGGTTTTCATAGAGGTATTGGGTTGCCTTTGCAGAAAATGAAAGAACTGCAAGCGAGTGAAACATCAGCAGAGGAGAAAATGCTTCGTTTAGGAGTAGAAACCGGTGGATGTTCAGGTTTCCAATACGTTTTTGACTTGGACGATAAGTTGAACCCTGATGACAGGTGCTTTATCCTCTTCACTTTTAGCACTTTGTTTGCTGTGGATGTAAAGTTCTGCTGGTTAGAGCACGATTTGGACACTGGGCTTTTGTCAATCTGAACCTGTGTTATCTTTTTGTTGCACTTACCTCTGCAGAGTATTTGAGAAGGAAGGAGTGAAACTAGTTGTTGACAATATATCTTACGATTTTGTTAAAGGGGCAACCATAGATTATGTAGAGGAACTCATTCGATCTGCATTCCAAGTACGTTTCCTTCTGTAATGTATGCATTATGCTTGATCTATATTCGTGTGCTTTCAATCTGGTTGTTGTGCCATTGGGGTCAATTCACGTTTGCTTGTAGAATAAAAGGATGAGGAAACATTGAAAGTGGTTCGAGGCCTTAATTTCGCTTATCTGAAAACTCGATTTAGAATAATAGTATTAGTCTCCAGACGCTTTGTAGCAAATGAGTTAGCTCAGCTTTGGGTGTTACAATTGTATTTGTTCAAGGTGTTCCGTTCATGATGTGTGACATTGCTGATAGATGCAACAATGATGTTGGGTACTCTTTAATCTGGCCCTGGCATCTGCTGGAAATGTCTAGTTCTTGTCAGGGAATTGTTATCAGTGATGAATTAGGTGGATCAATGCCTCTTGGCAAGGATTTGATCAATTAAAAAGCGAGATATACTTAGGACAAATGTATTTGTTCAAGGTGTTCCGTTCATGATTTGTGACATTGCTTATTGATGCAACAATGATGTTGGGTACTCTTTATTCTGGCCCTGGCATCTGCTGGAAATGTCCAGTTCTTGTCAGGGAATTGTTATGATGAATAAGGTGGATCAATGCCTCTTGGCAAGGATTTGATCAATTCAAAAGCGAGATATACTTTGGATGGTCAGAGCCTTCTTCTTTACCTAACTATGTGTGGCCAAAATATTTAAGACCTTCAGATTCAGTGATGAATAAGGTTGATCAATGCCTCTTGGAATGATCTGCCCCGCTAAGAGCCTAGCCTAATTTCAGAAGCGCTTTCTCAAAGCACGAGTCTCTGGAATGACTTGGTTTGGGCCGTGCTCATGGGTGGCTAACTTGTAGACAATAGCTAATAACACTGCTAATTCTTGTAGCTATTAGATCACAGCTCAGCCCTAGGATCGTCAGTATTTGGCAGATTGCATTAGGTCTGCATTTTGTAGATGAAACAGAGCTGGTGCATGTTGGTCATTAGAGATAGGAGATACATGCAACCATCACCAACATTATTAGCGGTTGCTTTTACCGTTTGCTAATACTCGTTTTGACTGTTTTGCTCTTTGATTTTGAAATGGGGTCGGAACTAAGTTGGGGTTTATTGTGCAGGTAACTGAAAATCCAAGTGCAGTGGGAGGATGCAGCTGTAAAAGCTCTTTCATGGTTAAATAATGATGTACTTGAATGACGCTGATTTTTCCTGCCATGTATTAGGGCGGATTAGTCGCTGTCTGTATTCTATTGTTCATTTTCATCTCTTTTTATATGGATACAAAATAAAACTGAGTCCAAATTTTGCACCAGATTCCTTGTATAAAAAACATGATTCTTGTAATGAACTGCTATTGTTGCCTCGCTGTTCAATGACCTAAAGGAATGGAATGGTACTTGTCAGCGTGCCCTCCAGACCACCACCAGCATCTCATTGAGAAATGTCCTTGGTGTTTGTGATTTCACTCGTCCAAATGGAAAGGAACGAGTTCAGGCGAACAAACTAAACATCCAGAGAGAGAGAGAGAGAGTCAAATGACCACATTTTTTGATAAACTAAATAGCAAATGTTCTTAGTTAATTAACTATTGTGCATACAGCCCCAAAAATCGCCAATAAAAGAAGGAAAAACAGTGGAGTGGACGTTCAAGTCTTGTTTTAACCACCATAAAAGTACACTTATTGCTACTCTGGTAACATCATGGTTTTACTCCCAAAATCATCAAATATGGGACATCCAAACAGCCACGGACGGGAACTCAGCCGCCCTCATTCTGCTGGTCTTTGTCCCAAAACTGAAATGTCTTCATAGCGTTTCTGCAGCACGAAAAATAAACAAGGGACCAAAACACAATAAAAATATGATATCACAGATGATACCAAGGACAAAAACCACAGGTGAACTAGTAACGTTATCAAAGTTCAGGGTGCGGATGTACACAAGGTCAGGTTACAATAGTGTAGAGAGAATGAAGATCAATGACTAGTAACGCGATCATCTTGGAGGAACGCAAACAGCAATGGTTTGAACAAGTCTAAGGAAGAACAAATAACTAAATTGTGCTAGTTCTGAACTAGGCAGTGTCAACTAAATACAAAGCACTGAGAGAAGACAACATATGCACATAGCTGAAACAGTATTCATTTAGTTGGGAACGTAAAGGAAAAGCATTTCATTTCCATGAAACCTGACAGCCGTTGGGACCCTAGTGTGAGAAATGTTCATCGCATAAAACCAATTATTCACTAGATGTCATGGCAGAAAACAGCTTCATGCTGAACCGGCGGAACTTAATAAAACTGATAAAGTTGCACAGCTTTGCTACTCGTGAATGTTAAAACACTATGAAGAATAGATATCAAAATATTGCCATCCACACATATGGCAGACCAAAAAGAAAGGAAACAATCAGGTTGGTTAGTAAGGTCATAATTAGACGTGCCAATGTAGTTCATCCCAATTCCCATCTCATATTAACTTCTTTCGCAGATCATTTTGTTTTACAACGCAATAAATGCAGTAACGAAGGTGCATTGCAGATAAATTCAAACAAGAGAGCTGGAGAAAATCTAGAGCAATACCCCAACATTGTTGTACTCCCACAGCTTATGAACTCCATAATCCACAGCCTGCACCAACCAAATAAAGAGTTTTTTAATTACTGGGACTGGGAGGAGTTTATTATTAGATCGCAGGCTTCAACAGTCAATTCTTACAGATAAACGACTGCTACCAAGCATCTCAATCAGGAACTCTGAAACCTAATTAATGCATAAGAAAAGCTCAGGGCCGTTCAGATCCACGTCACAGTGTTGTCGATAACTGATCTTAAGTACTAATGATCGAAGGCTTTCGAAAAAGAAAAAAACAGCTCAAAGCGACCTCTGAACATCGAAAGCTAGATCATTTTCCATACAATTCGCCCAAATCAATCAATTCCTCTGCCAAATCTCAAGCATTCACAACGACAGCGAATTCAATAAATCATTGACATAAGCGAAAAGTACCCTTTCTCCGAAAAAAGCACCGGCGAGGACGAAGGTGGCATAGACGGAGGTACGGCGCATGAAAACCTTGTAGATGCCTTCGAAAAGGCCACTTTGACCTCTACGTGGTACGTGTTCCATGGTGACTAGCCTGGATTACACAGTTCGGATATGTCCTCTCCTCTCCTCTCCTCTCTAGGGTTGCAGAGAACAGGGAAACGGGAAAGAAGAGATGCGTCTGCGACCAGACAACTTTTGACGATGGCGTTGGCGATGGAGGAGGAGTTGTTGTTTTTCCCTTTTTTTTAGAATTGACGAATTGAGTTAAGCTTAGCCAGCGTACCGGATCGACCCTGACCTTTTGGGCCTCATCTATTGCTCAGTCATGGCCCAGGACCTGTTCTCCCTCTAATTAATTACTACTTTTTTCCGATTAACCTCCCAATGTTTTATCTATTTACATAAAGACCCTCCTTCGTTTTATGTAATCATATTATGGGGCCTTATTCGTTAACGATTCATAGTATAAGACTTGTTTAGTAACTAACCTTTTCAGTTTTCACTGTTGAAGGCGGCAGAAGGACGTGGTTAGGAAGAAATTCGTCCTACTCCTTCCTTCCTTCCTGGTCGACGAGCGCCAATAGTTTTGGTCATTATTGCCATTTTGTACTTTGATACTTGCAGCTCTGAGTAATAGCCAAACCCAACCAAATTCACAGCTTCATTCTTGAACATCCCCGGCGCCATGGATTTGAACGACGAGGGCTCCAACTTCCAGCTCAAGGAGATTCAGACACTTAGCGGTCACACCGATAGGGTTTGGAGTCTTGCCTGGAATCCGGCCACCGGAAATGACGACGCGCAGCCGGTTATTGCTTCCTGTAGCGGTGATAAGACTGTCTGAATCTGGGAACGGAGTGCCTCGACTCGTTCTTGGGACTGCAAGGTTTTGACTTCCTCTTCCTTTTCTGTTTGTCTTTTCTCTCATTTTGCCTACTCTTATGTATGGTAAGGATTAGGCGAGAGTCATAATAGAACCAAGAACATAGGCCTCCATGGTTTCTCTTCTTGCCTGCCCATATCAATTACTAACAACAACTTATTTTTTTCAGGATGCATATCGTTAAGCCTAGTCCTAGAGTGTCAACTAATCTGTTTAGCTCAATTGAGATGACGAGCTATAGAAATTAGCTTCAGTATTGGATGTTTGCCGTTGCTAATGATCAGCGGAGTTAGTTAATTTCGCATTGGAACTCATATTGGTAATGATCGTGCAGGCAGTTTTGGAAGAAACACATACTAGGACAGTTCGATCGTGTACCTGGTCCCCTTCTGGGAAATTATTGGCTACAGCCAGCTTCGATGCGACCACTGCCATTTGGGAGAATGTTGGGGGTGATTTTCAATGTGTATCCACTCTAGAGGTATGCTTACTATATCTTCGTTACCCTTATGTGCTTGTGATTCTTAGGATTCGGGCTAGCTGTCAGGTCAGTTGTTCTCTTTTTCTGGCTAGATAGAAACTCTGAATTTTGGAATGTCCTCACTTAGTTTTCTATTGGTGGTGTTGGTCTGCAAACAGGGTCATGAAAATGAAGTCAAAAGTGTGTCTTGGAATGCATCTGAATCTCTATTGGCCACATGTAGTAGAGACAAAACTGTTTGGATTTGGGAAGTGATGCCAGGGAATGAATTCGAGTGTGCTTCAGTGTTGCAGGGCCACACACAAGATGTTAAGATGGTTAAGTGGCATCCAACCATGGACATTCTATTTTCCTGTAGCTATGATAATACCATTAAGGTACTTTATCCCGGAAATCCTCCCTAGTTATATAGTTTGCACGAATAGCTGGTCATTGCGGCTCTTCATTTAATCATTTTAGTGATCAATATAAAAATTGAACTGAAATTCTAAGAGAAAATTCTGGATCAGGTCTGGGCTGAGGATGATACTGGTGATTGGCACTGCATTCAAACCATAGGTGAATCTAGCAAGTACTACCTTAAATCCCTTCCTCAGATATTTTTTTCTTCTTCCATATATGTGTTACACGCACAATCATGGGGTTTCTTCTGCTATTATACTTTACGTCCTGATCTCGTTACCCCTGAGATCATCTTATATTGACTCATCAATACTGCGCTGCTGCTGTGGAAACAGTTGGTTTAACTCAATTGTTTTCTCCCCTCCTTTTCAGTGGCCATTCGTCTACTATTTGGGCCATTTCTTTCAATGCTGACGGGGACAAAATGGTTACATGTAGGTATGTTGAACATAGTTCCTCATTAATAGTTAATGAGATGATTGTCAAGTGCATGGATAGCCGGGTCTTTTATCTGGCACAGAAGCAAAATGAACTAAAAGAGCCTAATCTTTTTTTTTTTTTTTTTTCCAGTGACGATCTTACCTTAAAAGTATGGGAAGCAGATATTGAGGGAATGAGGTCTGGTAACGATCAAGTTCTTTGGTGAGTGAAGCATTCTATTCGTGTTGTTTGAGCACGTGATAGTTTTTCCAATGCTACCATAAGATTGGTATATGACCCCTACAAAATAGATTGTGTCATGAAGCATGGCGAAGTGGAGAGGATTTAATGCAACATTGGGAACTTTAATAAAAGCAGTCTGTTGTGCTAGGCCATGGTCTCTACATAAGGCATCTGTAGGATTGTGGCCTTTTCAGGGACATCCTATTAACTTGAAACAACTTCCTCAGCTTATGGTTCAGTAACTTAGCGTGTGCCCCTAATATATAATCATTTTCCTGTGATGATGTTATTTTTATTATTGGTACAATATTTTACAAAGGTCTGGTTTGGTTTTCAGGAAACATCTTTCTACCCTCTCAGGGTATCATGATCGAACAATCTTTTCAGTTCACTGGTCAAGGTAATAGTGACACCTATTTGAAGCTGATAGGTTCAGGCAATCTCTCTGAGTGACAGTACTAAAATGGCAGCATAATGCCATCTCACAACTCCTTGGCATATAAGTTATCTCAGCCAACAAAGGGAAGTGGGATGAAAGACTGTTTTTATTCTCGGGTGATCCATTATGGTAACACCCAGAAGGGCCAGAACAGTCATCCTTGTTTCCCTAGTTACATACAGATTCAATAACCAACCACTTTATGTTGTAATACTTCATATTTCTTTGTTTATTGGGCAATAAAAAACAGCTGTTAAATAATGGTTCGTCGAGGTGGCTCTCTAATCTTAACGAACGTAAACAGTGTAGCAAGCTAGCTCGTGTGGTTTTTGTGTTCACTTGTTGGACAATTTTCTTGCAAGTTATTTACATGGATGTACACACACGCACCAAAAAGAAGAAGCTTCTCTCATGTAATTAAATTGCATCTGAATCTCAATTACATCCCATTCCTGGTCTAAATCACCTGTGTTTCGTTTGTGTTGCTTATTACTTCCTTCTAAATCATGAAACTGATCCTCATTGGGTTTTTGTATATCTCAGGGAAGGTATTATAGCTAGTGGAGCAGCAGATGATGCTATTCGATTTTTTGTTGAAAGCAAAGACAGTGTGGTACTTAACTCTCTGATCCTTAATTTTAGTTTACTCATAGATTGGAAAACCACTGCTGTTATTATTCCAGTTGCAATGATCCCTTTTCTTTATTGCATTTTTATTGTCTAGCATCTAGGTTTGTCGTTGACTTCTTTTGTGACATTTTTGTCTGTAGTCGTTGACATTTTGGGTTATAAATTCGTTTATATGTAAGAAGTGTCGGGGTTGTATAGCTGTGTACTTTTATTGCCACTAATACTAAAATATGATCAAGGGTGCCTATGCTGTTTAGTGAAGCCTTAACTGCAAAACTTGAAATATTTAAGATCCCTGGCTTCTTATATTCCAAACATCTTCATCTAAATGATCTCTCTGCTCATTTCAGGTTGATGGTCCTTCTTATAGACTGTTGTTGAAAAAGGAAAAAGCCCATGATATGGACGTAAACGTTGTGCAATGGAGTCCTGGGGTAAGATCATAGTCTTTATAACTTAAGACTGAATCTTCTTGATACTGAAATTAGCATTATCATCAGTTAAGTTTGAATCTGGTAATTACAAACTGGGTATTTCACAAATTGCAATCCGCTGATGCAGTCTTACCTAGTCCTGCCACTCTTGAACTTGAAATCTAGTATCTCTCACATACTGCAACAAGTGTAAAGATTGCAAAATTATGGGTCAAGATACTTAGATTCTATAACATAATAATTCCCTGCCAGCTTTCGTATTATGGCCTCTGTTCTTTATCTTTAGATGCTCGAAAATATGAACTTTGGCATTGTAGATTTGAAGGTTTAATGTTGATAAACTGAATTCACCTTGGCAGGAAAATCGGGTGTTGGCTTCTGCAAGTGATGATGGCATGATAAAGATATGGGAACTGGCAACCAGTAGTAATTGATGGACATACAGAATTTTTGGTCTGTGTATGATCAAGCAAGCGTCAGTGATGTGTATCATTTATCTAAACTGGAAGAATTGTTGTTCCATTCTAGCGACAGCATTTTCGTTATGAGACGATATAGCTCAAAAATCTGTTAGCTCCGAAGTACAATTCTCTTACACTGCTGTCTTATTTCTTAAACTCGTCCTCAAATGTAACGATTCAACCAAAACTGTAGCAGAACCGCAATTGGAGTTTGATACTTTGTTGCAAGATTCTATATTAAGTTTCATAACAGCATAACAAGTAGCTGTGTTCGACACTAGGTGAAAGGGGTAACTCTCATTGTGAAGGAAGTATGAAGATGCCACAAATACATGAAAAGGGAAATACAGAAGAAGTCATATAAAGGACGAATGTTCATGCACTGCTTATTAATGTTGTATAAAATTGATCATTTCAACACCTGTTTCCAATGCTTAATCCCTGGGGGCATGGTGTCCTCAAGCCCTGCTGAGCTGCGAGGGCATCACGAGCAGACATGATGCCACTGGACACGAGAGCAGCGTCGAAGGCAGAACAGTCGATCCAATCCTTGAGCAGCTCTTCCTGGCCCCAAGTGTCAGGGATCCAAACTCGCCCCGCCACTTGTACCCTGTGCCTCTTCAGCTTCTCCCTCCCACACCAACCATCTTCCTCTTGTTGCTGCAATGTGGTTGTTGTTGCAGTTTCTTCCACCACTGCTTCTTCCCTTGCAGTAATGCTACTGTCTAATTCCTTGACAGCTGCTTCTTGTTCGTCTTGGTTTGTGCCATGGCAGCCCTTTGCTTTCATGTCTTCATGGTGGCTCTGTGGTGTGGTGTTGAGGCTATGGCTAGATGATGTTACTGTTGCATGAGCTTCTTCCGCTGTAGACTGCAAAGGGTATTCTTCACTGGGCTTCATGATGCTGCTTCAACTTACTTGGCCTCCTATCCTAGGTAGCGCTGAAGCAGAAAGAAGCGGAGGGATGGGATGGGATGGTTGCAGGCTGCAAGTAGAGAGGAATAATGGTGTGCCCTTGAAAGTGTAAGGTGAGTGGTAAGTTAAAAGGGAACGTGTCTCTTTTGTTGTCACTGTGACTGTGAGGGCTTATTTGGGGCTTCAACTTGTGTGGGTTTAGTTTGTTCCTTATTTCAGAAAAAGTTAAACCACCTCTGCCCCAGCCCCGCCCTCCCCCGGCCCTGGTTTCACTTCTCCAGCAGATAAAAGGAAAAAGAAACATGAATTATGACGACATCAAAAAAGGAAACGGAAAGAGGAAGATATCAGATATGTGGGCTAGCCTAGCTCGTCACCATCGAGTTCAATTTGCATGACCCAAAATGATACTTGGAATTGTACCCTATTAAAAAAGGGAACAAATACAAATTGCTGGTGGGGAAGGAGGGAATTGTGATGTGAGGGCGGATGTTTGATCTTGGCTTTGGCTTTGGCTTCGTGTGGATGAGAGTGAGCGGCCTATGATATTTGGATCGAGAGGGGCCTAATGAGGTTCTAGGATTTTTTCTCATTTTCTTCTTTGCTTCTCTATGGTTTGGTTGGGAAGTTCCCAATCCCAACTATCATTAATGGGATTGGAGACCATTTGTTCTTCTTCATTTCCTAATGAGACTAGTTATTTGTTGTCTATGTTTTTATTATTTTTTGTCCACATATTTTGTAAGAAGTAGCAAATTTATTCTTTTGCTCATTTATTTATATTGTATTTGAAAAATGTTATTTGTTTCATATCAAATCTCTGCATCTTCGGAGTTAATTGATATTCCAGTATATTTAAAAAAATTGTAAGCGTTGGAGAGGAGAAGGACTGGGTTGACACACAAGATTCTGGGAAAAATCTGCGAGGAAAAAAAGTTATAGCAGGTCGTTGGCGACGGTCACATACTTGTTTTCTAACTGAAATGAAATTTGCACTATTGATTGTCGACAATTTAAGACTGATTAGAAAACAACGTCTGACTAGCCAACAATCTTCATCACCGATCTTCGGATATTTCCAATCGGTGTCTGATCCACCTCCATTCTCCATCGTCGATCTTCAGATATGTCCAACCGGATTCCGCCAGACCCTAGTTGTCTGATCGGTGAGGAATATCAATCAATTAGCATTTGGTTGAGATTTTTTTATGAATTTTAAAATATATATTAAATTTTAATTAACTTGAAATATATAAACTCATATTTCTATTTCCATTTAAATTTGGTTGGGTCACATCCGGGGATTTGATTGTTTGGCTTATGCAAATGATACTCATCACAGGTTATGTAAGTTTGCGACCAGGGGTCGTGCTTGTCGTTTTGTTGGTTATCTTAAGGGATGACACTGGGTCGGGTTTTTATAAACCCAAATCCATGGGTTTATCCGTAAAAAAAAAATTTCAGTGTAAAATCAGTTGGGTTTGGAAAACTCTAACCCAACCCAACCCAACTCGTAGAGTATCCGTGGGTTCATGGGTGCCTGTGGTTTTTTTGGCAAAATTTTACAATAACAAGTTCCTACCAAAATAAAAGTCAAACATCAATTCCCCATACATAGTATCCATACATCAAATACTAGTCTAGAAAATTCAAACAAATCACAATTACCCTAAATAAAAGCAAACAATTCTTTGTTTTTCGTTCATTCTATTTTATTTGTGAGAGAGCAGCAAACCAACAAACATGGTGTGTTCAACTTCAATTATTAATTTATCACTCCCACTTCTGTTGGGAAAAAGGAAACATTACCTTGGTAAGAAATAAAATTAGGGTAGGGTTTGGGGATAGTTAGTTTGGGGGAAATTAAAATTAGGGCAGGGTTTGGGGAGAGTAGGGCGACGGAATAAGTGTGGGCTAGTATCCATGGGTCGGATATCTCTAAACCTAAACCCAACCCGGTGAACAGTGTACCAGGTTTAAACCCGAACCCGACTCATAACCTATCAAAACGGGTTTTACCCACATTGACCGGGTTGGGTCGGGTAGGGTACCCATGGGTTCAGGTTTTGTTGGCATCCCTAGTTATCTTGCGACGCAAAAGGGATAGCACATGTATGATTTGGAGACTCGTCAAGTATACATGTCATGTGACGTGGTGTTTGTTGAAAGTATCTTCTCTTTTGCTCGTTCCATGTACTAGAGTTTCTCACCTCCTTTTCAACCTCTATTTCGCAAAAGGTTCCCCCTCTTCTATCAATGCATCTTTAGTACTTTCTCTTTTATTTCATATCTAAATTATAACTATCTGATCAATGAGTGTTTAATAGACCTAGAATGTTATTTTGTACTCTTTGATGTCTTCTTGGTATGTTTTTTTTTATTGTTTTCAAGGAAGAACTTGACCTAGGAGGATTTGGATCAAGCATTGGACAACTCTAGAGGACTGAAAGAACTATAAGGAAAATAATATGGATCTTTCATGATAAAGACGAGGTTAAATGACAGAGAAGCCTACTATTAACCACAAGTAGAGTCTAAGAGAAGCCCAGTAGAGGAAGGAAGACTCAGGCGAAGCAGAAGCAAGAACCAGCGGCTTCCCAACAACGGGTCCAAGCGCCGCTTATGGAAACCTGGACAAATCACGATCAAATCTTTATGAGAGGTTGTTCATGGGCTATCGAGTTTAGTCCATGAAGAAAACAGTGGTGGTCCCAAAAGTTGCCTAGCCGCTGCAAGAAGGCCCAAGTCCAAACAGACAATCTTTAGGCCTTGCTTCCGCCCCAAGTCAAGTAAACATTTTGATGGTAGGTTTATGTAAACTCTCTGCTCGAGTGAGAGCTCTTTAGGGTGGGCCCTTTCGTACTCCAATTCTAAGGTTTATTATATATGATCCGGAAGGGAGAAGGGAGAAGGAGGAAAGGACAATTCTTCAGCTCAGTAAAATCGGTTCACTATTAATTTAAAGCCAGTGTTGAAATTATCATTGTTAGGAAATTAATAAAAGAATTCTTACTAATAATAATAAAGGGTTAAGGGCCTCCAAGGCCTATAAATATTCGTAGGAGAGGGTGCAGCTAAGGAGATGCAATCATCATCAATGGTGGTACACTCCTTTTTCCTATATTTTGCTAGTTCAAAATTGATTGTTCGAGAATGTGAACTCGTTTATCTTTGCATGTATTGATGCTATGATTTCATATTATGGTTGTGTTGATGCTTGTGACTTTTGATGTCCTATGTGTATGCATGAATGCTTTATGTGTATGATTTCATATTATTGTACAAGAAAAACCTGTAAACAACTTTACTTATCCTTGCTTTGCTTTTCTTTGCTTGTTACACCAATGAAAATCCTCTCCTCTTTCGTGTAAGCATAGATGATGTCGTGTGAGTAGTTATGCATTAGAAGATCTTGTCGAATACAACCTTAGGATATCCTAGGACTTTTATCACCAATAAAATCCATCAAGTTTTTGGCGATGTTGTCAGAGAATTTTAATCATGTATATAAACATCTAACAATCTTATATCTCTTTTTATTTTTAAGTTTCTTTTATTTTGCATATTATCATATGAGTCCAGTAAGTACTAGAAGAAAAACAAAAAACCTAAAGATAGTGCAAGCGATCGTCCAAGAAGGAGGAGCATCGTGTTAACCCATCTTTGGGATGAAGTAAGGAGCATCTAGCTCAAGAGAAGATGAGCCTTCAAGTCACACAAATCTCGAGCCAAGCTTGGGAGAGGAGGAGAACATTGACGCAGACTGCAACTTTGATTTCAAAGAAGGAGCCTCTTCAACATCTTCAACACCATCAATGGCTAGAGAAGGAGAAGGAAGAGTGACCATCCCACCTACTTTTTATGAGTACTCAAGGCTAAGAGCATAAAAAATCACCTCAAGCATTGGTGCACCACCAACCAGCATCAAGATCCCCACTCAAGTGATCCAAATGGTACAACAAGTTGGGGAATTTGCAGGAAAGAGTGATAATGATCCTGTGCAACACTTGAACATATTCTTAGAGATGGTCGACCCTATTCTAGGAGATGAAGCTACCAAAGAAGGGATTCGATTACCATCCGTCTGGTTAGAACCTTGCTCAAGCATTCATCGCGGAGTACTTTCCAACATGGAAGATGGAGGAGCTTAAAGATGAGATCACTCAATTTCAACAGATGGAATGAGAGACTTTATATGATGCTTGGAGGACATTCCAAGAGTACATCAATGTGTGCCCCCATCATGGATTCACACAGGACCAGATTGCAAAGTACTTCGCCAAATGCTTAGATAGAGATACCACTATGATGGTGAACCAGTCGGCTAATGGAGATTTCACAACAATGAGGAAGTGAAATGCCAAGAACATTTTGTCACAATAGCAAGGAAGTCAAAGAACTAGTCCAAACAACCATCAATGATCAAACCATTGAAAGCTACCCAAGGAATGGAGGATGAAGTCGCCACCCTTTGTGAACACGTGATGGAGATGACCCAACAATTAAAGAAAGTATCAATGTCAAAGAATGGACCAACGACATCCTTGTTCATTTCTGAATCATGTGGAGAAGAAGGTCACAAAGGTATCAAATTCTATAGCCACTATGGGCAAGGACATGTTGATCTCAAATATATTAACCAAGGCTATCAAGCGAGACCTCAACAAGGAAGCTACCCTCCATATCAAAGATTCAAAACACCTCACATACCCTATGGTCAATGGCCTTCCCTAGAAAGAAAGAAGCTTGAGGACTATCCCAACATCACCTCTACCAATGCACCTTATGAAACACAATAGCAGAAGATACCATGTCCACCTGGATTTTGCCATCAACCTCAATATAAGGTGCAAAGAGAAGGTGTCTCCAATACTCAACCCACCAGGTTCGAGAAACTTGAGGAAATAGTGATAGGACTACAAACGAGCTACAAGAACATCGAAAGAAAACTTGCACTACTTCATTGACGCTTAACCTCAGAAATCTCAAGGAAAACTCCCAAGCAACATAAAGCTTTTGGAGAATCAGAAGTGATAGTGTCAATATTGGCGAAGCTAGTCAATAAAACCAAGGAAGATCACGATCAAGAAATCCCCTCAGATTTATGAAGATCCAGGGCATTACATCATCAAGTGTCTTACGGATGACCATCACATGGACAAAGTTCTAGTTGACGTTGGCTCAAGCGTCAACATACTACCATTTTATCTACTTGAAGAAATGGGACTAGCTGACTTGGAGTAAGTTAAGGTAGAGATCACGCTTGCCAACAACACCCCTTGCAGAGCTCTTGGAGTTGTTAGAGGTCTAAGCACCCAACTTGGCTCGTTCATATTCTTGCCCGACTACCTGGTGATTGACATGAAGACAATCAAAGAGTATTCAATACTCTTTGGAAGGACATTTCTTGCCACTACTGGAGCAAGAATCGATGTTGTCAACATAGAAATTACTTACACATAGGATAGCTCCTACACTAAGTGAGAAGCCAATCAAAAGGAGTGACAAATTTGAGGAGGATCCGGGGAATGAGATAAAATTTTGATTTTGATCTATATTTGAGGATTTGGAAAACATAATAGTTCATCACCATGACCAAGATCCAAATAATGGAGGTAAGTTGAAGGAGGCTCTGCCAATTCTTGGTATGAAGCATGACACATTAAGGCTCTGCCAATTGAGGTAAGTTAAATGGCACTCAAGATAGCCAGTAAAAGGCCAAAGACGATGCTAGAAAGAATCGAGGTGCTGGAGCATGACACATTAGAAGAGTATCCAGAGTTCATCCATCATTATCAACCTCATGGATCAACAACAACGCACCACTTTTCTGACTCACATATTCTAAACATTCGCTTATAAAGATGAACTTAATCGTGAAATCAACTAAAAGACAGCCTCGCTGAGCCTAGCTCAAAGGAATAAAAGAGAGAGTGCTTCATGGGAGGTAGCCCATGTCTGGCGTCAAATTTAATGGCATTAAACAAAAGTGCTACGAGGAGACAACCCGAATTTCTCTTTCTTAGTTAAATTTTTAATTTCAAGTTTGTTTTTAGCATAAAATTTTGAGGTGCTCATTAATGGAAATCATTGTATCCTTTGGATAGATGTTACACATGGAGACATTTTTTTGAAGTTATGACGAGAAAGAAGGTTTTGATGACATGAAAAGAGTACAATATCGACTTTTGTACTACTGAGGTAAGTGCTCTAACGAGAAAATGCTAGAAAACGACGAATAACGCAAAGGAAAGTGCTCTAGACCCTATGAAAAGAGAAATTTGGCCACCACCCCACCCAAACTTCATTTTCACTTCTTTTCCTCTCTCCTTAGTCGAAAACCTTCTCCCTTCTCTCTTGGTTTCAAATTTTCTCTGAACTTCTTCAACTTTCAATCGCTAAATCCACCACAAAAGCTCAAAATTTGATCCTCAAATTTGAGATACATCCTACCCAACACCATAAAAATAATGCACAACCAAAGAAAATTCAAAAAGCTCACTAGAGTAGCCCCGACGACTAAAATAGTCATGCCACCCCCTACCCTTTCTCTTTAGATTCTTCGATTTTCTTCCATAAACTGCATTTTTCATCAATCCAAGTAAGCACTGATGATCTTTATATGAATTTAGGAGCTTGAATAATGAATTTAGGACTTCAATTGAGGATTTAATGATTAAAATTGCTTGAGTTAGGTAGGGCTCTCTCTTGCTAATTGTTGGCCTCTTTTAGACCCAATTGATGTTTGTGGCTGATTGATGATACCTATTCTGATTATATATGAGATTGCATAGTGCTTATGATGATTTTATCGAATTTATGCTTGTATGATTTGTTGAATTTTTGCAAAGGTCATTGCCAAAATTTTAAAAAATGTAGCATAACATCTTTCAATTTAACCTTTAAATGTCAAGCTATGCTAGGTTTCGAAATTCATGGTATGATTTTTTAAATTTCGAAATTTTCAATGGGAGCAGGGGCATTGTAAGTTTTCAAATTTCATTACTAAGTTGGATCAAAACTCATGTCATTTTACTTGTGCTAACTTCTCAATCGACCTTTGCCTAATCATATAACTTGGGTTTTCAAAGTTTTAAAATTAGTAAGATAGATGGTTCATATATTTTCTACATTTTGAAGTTCAACTTTTCATATCGTTATATGTACCTATACGTCATATGTAATTGAATTAGTTTAGCATTCGGAACTAGCTTGATAATAAATATTAAAGAAGTTATATGATTAGCTTATAGAAGAATCCATGCTCTAAAGTTATTCTCCTATTTATCAATACTAACTTGGTTTCTTTTCTATTGAGCAGGAAGATGAAGAACCCAATCCCTAAGTGGATGGGAAAGCATAAGAAGAAGGGATACGAGGATGCTTCTTCATCAAGAAGACCACGTCCTCACAGTAGTGGAAGGCCACTTGATAGTGTGTGGTCAAGGAGAAAAAGTGGACAACTGCCACCAGGGGCCGAGGTGCTTGAGACTGATATCGAGCTAGAGATTAGAGAAGAGACACCAAGGAGAGATTTACTCGCCGGCCTTCAACCGGTGCCAATGATGGGGAGTTGCAATGATATGGAGACTCGATGATGCTGGTCTCTTGTCAATATTCAACATCAAAGAATAAAGAAGCGACGTGCTCACAAGGGAGTTCCTTGCCACCTTAATAGTAATTGGTAACACCCAAATTGGTGAAACACCCTAACCCGGCCGGGTACTACATTTACTAAACTGCCCTTGATAAATAAAATAGTCAAATCTTAAACTGCAGCGGGAAATTTTTTCATAAATAAAGTACTGAAACACACACTTGTAGCTCAGAGCAAAGCCCTAACACGTGGGCAAATTAAACTCAAACTTTAGAATCTCAATCTGATCTCCAGTCTATACTCATAATCATAAATGTAAATAACTAATAATATCTAATTGTTGCTACTGATACCTTGACTAAGCATCCTCTGTGACGCTGATACTAGTCTCCTCTAGCTGGCTTGCCTCGAACAGCTTTCTCGATCTCGCTGCTCACTAACTGCTCCTCTAGCTGCAACTATCGGTATAGTTCTCGCTTTTCCTTTACTAAATCCTGGTTAGTGAGATGGGGTCAGTCTATGCCCTTACGTTTTAGTAATTCTAACACTTGAGTACTTTACTTAGACACTTATCTTTGACTAGTGGAAGTTGTTTGTACTTCCAATCATAAAATCTTAACTCTTAAACTTTGAGGGAGTTGAAGTTACTCTCCTCTCTTAAAGCTCAAATCTTGACTTAAATACTTGACCGACACGGGGATCCCTCACTAGCTAGTCCGGTTGCCAACTCATACGTATGAGAAGCCATCCAAGCTTTCCTTAAACTTAAACTTAGTTAGGGAAGTCGTAACGATTCATCCCCCTAACATCTTAAACTTATCGTGTTGGCTCTTCACCACGATTCTCAAGAGCATAACTGCTGCTCATATAAAAGTCTCAAGAGCATAACTGCTGCTCTATCTCAAAATGTCTCAAATGGCAACGGACTGGCGCTAGTGAATAAAAACACTTAAAAGGACTTCACCTTCTTGAAGGTGAGTAATACGCCCCTGGGGGTGTATATTATCAAAGTAACGCAGCAAACGACTCAATCGAAGAATCGATTGAGCTCGAATTAAGAACAAAGCGTTCTTAATACGAACTTGGATAGAACGGCACCAAAAGGACAAATCCACACCTGGGGATAGCTCGATTGGTATAAAAGGGTAGTTGCTCGACCACGATTGAAGTGACTATTCAATCGATACACAAGCTCAGCATGTTTGGAATCCACCAAACCCAAAACAAGTCGCAACTTGCACAAACCAAACGGTTTCGATTTCTATTCAACAAAGTCTGAGTTTTACAACGAAAGTAGAAAGGTATTTAAAGGCAAATAAACCTAATACAACCCTAATAGAACTAGGAAACAATTAAGGTAAAAATCTACTCTAAAAAGGACACAAAATTCGGATTTAAACTCTCTTTCTTGAAGCATAAGCAAGCTGCCAGCTAACAGTCAAAAGACAGCTTTCGTACTAACTTTGCGCCATTTGTTCAAAGCCTTCCCGAACTCCAATCCTTCATCCAATTCCTTCCATTTGTACATAAACATACCTAGTCTTATGTTGTGGAAGCCTTTGGACTTGAAGAAGATCCATACTCCTCGAATTAAGCTCCAAAGTAGGCTTCACAAAACAGTTTCCAGACTTAACCATTTTCTGGCAGTTTTCCAGTTTTGAGGTAGCAACTTTGAGGCCTTGGAAAACAACCTTAATGACATCATCTGAATCCACAGAGCATACCATTGGAAAGAGGAAAACTTTATCTGCAAAACAAACCCCTAAAATTGAATTTCCACCGAGCCAATTGAGAGAACCATGCCTCCAAAATATGTACCCTGAACACGGATTTTGACTTGGCCAAATTCTGCCCTTCTTCTTTCCAACCTTGATAGCTTCTTTGGCAAGTAATTGTGACTTGTAGAAGTGGCCAATTTGGATCATATCAGGCTCCCCCACTTCAAAAAGCTTTGCCCTCAAAGCTTGTTTTGACCTGCAATCAAATTTTTCAACGAAATCCTCCCAAATTGGGTCACAAAAGTGGTATCCTAAACTCGTCCTAACTTCGAACCATTCAAACGTAGAGGCTTCATTACTCCTTGATCTTGATGATTTTCCCCACGATTCGAATGCCAGGATGTTCGTGGGACTCCAAGGGACCTTTCCCACGAAAATGTTTTGCTCAATCGAACCCAGATTGCTTTGCGCCAATTTTCCAGTTTCCGGCCAAAATTTTGCAGATTCCGGCGGTTCTTCAAACTCCGGCGAGGGACCAAAAATTGGGTGTTTCTCTTCTAGGCATCCACAAGCCAAATTTCCACTCCCAATCGCTCCATCTGGCTCCCAGTAGTCGTTTCCACCCATTACCCATCTTCGATTATTCTCCATGCGACTCCAATTGCAATTCGCGAGTTTCCCGCCGCCGGAAATTTTGAATTTCCCAGAATCCGGCAGCTCAAACCCAGAATCCGGCGACCCTAAATTGTAATTGGGGAATTTTAACCCAGGCGTTTTCGTGCAGGTTTCTTTGCACCTACACCATCCTTGGAACTCCACGAACTCGTCTATAGGCTCCATTGTGTTCGAATCAACCCTGATCTCCTCAACCAATTCTCCAATTTCCTGTTCGTATTTTTTTGTTTTCAGAGGGACTTCAGACAGAATCGGGTTCTTTGTTACAGCTGGAATAGGGGAGATTACTTCCATCGAAATCATTCGTGGTGTGTTGACAAACATTTTGGCACAATTGGTTGCGCTCGACTCTTCCTCCACGGCCCCAACCAATTCAGCTGTTTGCTTGGCGTGTTGGACCGTTTGCAGAGGCGGAGGAACTGATCTTGGGTTCTGCAAAGTAGAGCAACTCGATCGAATCCAATGGTACAGAGAGCTTCTTGAAGCCTCATAGAACAATTCGGAAGCAGTGGTTAAGTTCAGATCGCTTTCCAGTGTTCCATCCCATTGGCCCTCTCTCCTGCTCTGTATTGACGTCGCCGAACAGAGCTGCAACAGAAATTTCGACTTGGACCCTTTAAGTTGAAGCTCCTTTGGCCATAATTTCGTTTCATAACGCACTCTTGGGATAGTTTTGAAGGTGTTTGCGGTGGTGACTGTATGCGAGCTGCCTTCAATCACCACGACAGACTCGACCGTATTCAAACTCTGTTTTGTCGTCACAAAACAGGGGTCGTTGTAGATTGGTGGTTTCAATTCTGTAACTCCCTTCTGCAGCTTTCTGAAGCTCATGAAATTGAACCCAGCGCACCTTTGAACCCACAACTGAGCTTGAACACTTTTTCCTTCGTTCCGATTCTCCTCCATCTGTTTTAAATCGTCAAAAACTTGATCGGGTGATAGAGGCTTCAATTTGATCTTCCTGCTTTCGTGTTTGAATGTATAAGAATTCTCCCAGCCATCATGTAACACCCTTCTGTCGAATTGCCAAGGTCTACCCAACAGAATATGAACGTTTTGCATTGGAACTACGTCACAGAGAACCGTATCTCGGTACTTACCAATGATGAACTCGATTTGTGCTTGTTTGTTGACCTTCACGTCACCATGTTCGTTGAGCCAGGTGAGATGATACGGTTTAGGGTGCTTCTGGGTTTTCAACTCAAGCTTTTCTACGGCATACGTACTGATCAAATTCGCGCAACTCCCTCCATCGATCACCAACGAAGCGATTTTGCCGTTAATCTCACATCGGCTGTGAAATAAGTTGTCTCGCTGCTCGTCAGACTCTCTATGCTTGATTATGATTGCTGGAGACGTTTCTTTGCTACAATTTCGTGGCTGCTTGGCCTCTGTGCTGCCCTCTACCAACTTCTTAGCTCCTGCCACGTTTTCCATTGCGATTTAGCTCCGGACAGCAGCTGCAAAGCATAAACAGGGGCTGCCCTGTTTTGGAACTCGATAAAACTGCTTATACGAAACAGCATGTTCTTCTTCTCCTTCTCCCTTGTGTAGAACCAGCCTCTGATACCACTTAATACGCCCCTGGGGGTGCATATTATCAAAGTAACGCAGCAAACGACTCAATCGAAGAATCGATTGAGCTCGAATTGAGAACAAAGCGTTCTTAATACGAACTTGGATAGAACGGCACCAAAAGGACAAATCCACACCTGGGGATAGCTCGATTGGTATAAAAGGGTAGTTGCTCGACCACGATTGAAGTGACTATTCAATCGATACACAAGCTCAGCAAGTTTGGAATCCACCAAACCCAAAACAAGTCGCAACTTGCACAAACCAAACGGTTTCGATTTCTATTCAACAAAGTCTGAGTTTTACAACGAAAGTAGAAAGGTATTTAAAGGCAAATAAACCTAATACAACCCTAATAGAACTAGGAAACAATTAAGGTAAAAATCTACTCTAAAAAGGACACAAAATTCGGATTTAAACTCTCTTTCTTGAAGCATAAGCAAGCTGCCAGCTAACAGTCAAAAGACAGCTTTCGTACTAACTTTGCGCCATTTGTTCAAAGCCTTCCCGAACTCCAATCCTTCATCCAATTCCTTCCCTTTGTACATAAACATACCTAGTCTCATGTTGTGGAAGCCTTTGGACTTGAAGAAGATCCATACTCCTCGAGTTAAGCTCCAAAGTAGGCTTCACAAAACAGTTTCCAGACTTAACCATTTTCTGGCAGTTTTCCAGTTTTGAGGTAGCAACTTTGAGGCCTTGGAAAACAACCTTAATGACATCATCTGAATCCACAGAGCATACCATTGGAAAGAGGAAAACTTTATCTGCAAAACAAACCCTTAAAATTGAATTTCCACCGAGCCAATTGAGAGAACCATGCCTCCAAAGTATGTACCCTGAACACGAATTTTGACTTGGCCAAATTCTGCCCTTCTTCTTTCCAACCTTGATAGCTTCTTTGGCAAGTAATTGTGCCTTGTAGAAGTGGCCAATTTGGAACATATCAGTGAGGTACTTCTTAAAAAGAACTTGTTTCTTAAACTTTAACAATAACTTATACTCAGGAAAATTTCAAGGTAAATAATAACCAGTCACTTCAAGTCATAATTCAAACAACGCACATATCACCAACCATAATCATGCAATCTCAAACATGAATCGACGCAAAGCAATACTCGAAAATACTCAACGCAAATACTTGAAAATCGTAAAGCGTAGAATTTACCACCTTTACACTCACCTTATTCTCCGTTGTTGCTTCTCATAGTAATTCGATATCCTTCATAGTTCCCGGAAATACCAGAAATTTTTATCAACGTTGAAAATGTTACGGCATCAAGTCTCCATTTCTCCGCCCGAGCACGATCATACAAGTTTAAAGTTTTTTCCACATTGCCAGCTCGGCCATAAGCATGCTGCAGGGTTCGTCATGTTATTGACCACAACCACAGCATCTTGCTCCAACAAATTATGTCCTAACCCATTCAAAACTCTGGAAACTTCCTTCTCGCTCGTCTCGCATGAATTCAAATTCTGGGCGGCTTTAACAAGAGAAGAATACCTAGCGTCATATGACTTCCTGCGGAGCTCGGAAGCTCTGGCGCTTCTAGGATTCACCCAGACGTAGGATTTGGACGAAGTCCCAACTGTTTTTTTTTTTCATTTGTGTCTCTGGCATTTTCCTCCTCCTTTTCGGATTGCTGCGGGACTGCGTTGAGCTTTTGAGGAGCAGCGGAATGAGAAGAAGGAAAGCAATTGTTTTAGGGGAAAAGAGATTCTCCACGTGATGCCGAATGGGGTGGGGGTTTAGGGTTTCATTTTAATGAATAATAATAATAATAATAAAATAATAATAATTCTTATTATTATCCCTAATCTGTGGTTGTAACTCTTTGTACGTAACCGTTGATCCAAACGTTCAGTCGAACCTTAATCGAACCCTAACCTAAAAATGGGGTGTTACATTTCCCCCCCCCCCCCCCCCCCCTTATAAAAATTTCGTCCCAGAAATTTGCTCGAAACTCATCCTTCTATCAATACCCTTCTTATACTTCCTTCCCCCAATCATTTATTCTTACCATAACAACTTCATTGGTAACCTTTGATCATTTATATTTCCTTAGCTGGTAGCATTCGTGTAACCTTGAGTGACTCCCCCTACCCTTTTTGTTTCACAACTTGATCCAAAAATGATGAAACAAAAATGCTGATTTGACTAGACATGTTGACCAATTCTCCTGATAGTTGTTGTTGAACCCAAGTCCAGAATCGAGATATCACATTTCCCCCCTCCTTAAGAAAAATTTCGACCTCGAAATTTGTTCATCTTGATAACCTAAAGTCTCACTTGAGGTAATCCTTCTGTTGCAAGAACTTGTACTTCCTTTACCTTATACAACCTGGAGCTATAAACCCTTTCCTCCAATTCGTGTGGGACTGCGTGTGCTTCTTGGCCAACTAATTACTCACCCACTTTTCATAAATCTCTTGCTCAAGCTAGTTACTTGCTCAATGCGTCTATGGCACTATGGCACTCTCCCTTCTTAAATGCCTCTGATGCTGTAATGGCTTCGTAGCTCATATTCTTCTCAACTATTTGTCTTGGGTCTCTACTTAGGATTCCTTAAGAACATAAAGGAAATAAATTATTAGCCAGCCCTATTCAAGTCATGACTCGTCGTAACTTCAGCTCATACTAGGCCCAGACCTTGAACTTTGTCCTCCCTATCTTGACTGCTGACAACTCTCCTTGGTATAGAATGTTTGCCCTGCTTAATGATTAACTCTGATGCTGATTCCTAGGTATCGCTCCTTCTCCCTTTATAGGCCTCGTTATTCTCCTCTTTGATAATTCCACTTGATACGCACTCTTGATGCATGATTCACCATATATGGTGCCTTTAGCATGAGAAAATTCTTTACATATCCCTATTAATGTTCTTTATACCCCTTTCAACCCTAAGGTTACTAATGGTGGCTTAACCTCCATCTTGTTATATCGAAAACTCTCTTAACATAACCTCATCTGTGGTTGACCACGCAGATCACCTAGGTCCTTGTACCTTCTGACTTTGAATCTCTTACTTTCATCCAAGATTCTTTGTCTCTCCCTTTAGCCATCGACTGAATGGTCATCTCCTCGTTACTTGTTGCTTAGCGCCAAAACCTCATACTACTGCTTTTACCTTCTGTAGGCATTAGAGACATCCTTTGCATTTCTCTCTAGCTTGCGATCAACTTTATGACTTCTTTCCAGAATCACGACCTTCCCTTTTGAGTACTTGTTCACTCCTGGAGCCTAACTTAACACTTCCTTATCGTTGCTTGAATGTTATGTTCTTGTACTATCCCTTCTGCCACTTTTGTACCCCATATGAAATTCATTGTACGGTTTCCCCGTCCAATAAATTTTTATCTGAGAGATCGTCAGCTTTCACCCGCATAGGCGATCTTGGCTTCACTTTGGGGTACCCTATCAGATTCCCTAAACTCATAACCATATTACTTCTTTACTCGTGACTCTTCTCCTTGATGTTACTCATTAGTTCTAGATGTCCCTTGTTCTCGATGTAGTCATCTAGGTTCTTATAGTCTCTTCTCACTTATGTACCATGATAGATAAGGTTCTCCCTTCAACTATTCCTGACGATCATGATTCCACCTTAAAAACTGACTGAAATATCTTTATGGACTTCCTATGGATCGATTATTCTCTACTTGGTGGTCAACCTAATGCTTTCTTGTTGTCTTTTGTACTCCTGCTTCCGCCCATCTTAACTATCTTCCTTGACGCATACATCGCCAAGTTGATGCCAACCATTTTTTTCTATAACTTCCCACGGTGTTCTTCTTGCTTCTTTACTTTTACTACCACCAAACTACAACTCTTCTGTTGTTGCTTGTACTATATTTGATCACCAACCTCTGTTGAGTATCTTCTCGTTGTTGTTTTGGATCAAAGCTTCCAATAGGAGATTTCCCTTGGTAGGATTTAACATACCTCATTCACGTCATTTTGTCTAGATTGATGCCTGTATATGGCCTTAATCTCATAGTCTGGGTTCTTAGTGGCTTAAATCTGCGTGTCTACCTTATCCTTAACTAGCCGCTTCCTCAGGATGACACCCTACTATGCCGCTCCCACTCAGAGTGGGGCACCTTGGATAAGGTAACCTAATGATTTCCTCCTTCCCAGTAATGTTTTTCCACGTCGTACTCCACTATACAGTTTCTTGAACTCGAGTCACTTGTCTATACTCAGTTGGCTTAATGAATTACTCCTATAGCTAGTTCTGAGACCCCAGCTCTTAGCCCCCTAGTTTCAACTTATTACAGAAGTTCCTCCTTCTATCACCCATCATTTACTAGGTGGATAGATGCTCCCTCCTTTTAGGATAGGCCAATGACACAAAAGATCATCACGAACTCTTGCATTCCCCTTTCACGGTCCCAACGACCTCGCGACCTTTCGTGATTTGGGTAGTTTGTGTGGCCTCTTATATCCCATTCCATCCTCTTTCTAGCTCGGCGTTGTTCACTAGCACATTGTTATTCTTGATCCAAGCCCGTCCTCTACCTCGATTATCTTGATGCTTGTCTTTTTCCTAGTAAGGATTTGCTATCAGCCTTATTCCCCAGGGTCATGTACCCTTTTCTCTAGTGACGTAGTTTATCTATAAGGGTTCCTTTGTCGTCATATGTAAATGAACATGCCTCCTCTCCACCTTGACCTATTAGCTTCTTGTCATCCTTTCGTACTCCCTGTAACCTACTTATTCCCTCATTTGCTTCATTTATACCACCCTAGCTTTTCTTAAAGTCTAAGCTCTCCATTGGTCCTTGTCACTATGTTGTAAAAGCGTCGAGCCGTCGACCACTAAAACTAGCTGACGGACTTCTCGTTGTACATCTTCGTTTCTTGACTTGTTGTCACCTCGCAACTGCTTAGGTTCAAGGACCCTGAAATTCTCTCATCATTATAGCTACTGACATCTAGTGATTGTAGCTCTTTCTTTGGAGATTCATATTTCTCCCCTTTGTTTGTCTTAGCTTATTAGATCATCCACTTTTTTCCTAGTAGTAAAATCCTCGTACTACTCTCTCAACTCCTTCAAAATCCTTGAGGTATTCCCTTTCGATTGGCACCTCTTTGCTGGTGTTTGGAGTTGAAGTCCTCACACATTTGATTCTACCTCCACAGACCTTTGCAACGTTCCTCCTTCCTTCTCTAGGTTGATGATGATGATGATCTGTTTGCTAACGCCCGAGTAGTTGGTTAACTAATTGAAACACTACTATCCATCATGTCGATGAGATACTTGGTCTTGAGAGCCTTTAAGATTCTACTTGCGTTGGTTACGTTTCTTGCATCCTTCCTTTCATACCGACGATCGCCAAACACCTCCGCCTCTTATTTGACGTCCCACGACTTGTTAACTAAATCGTCCCCTAGCTTATTCTTAAACCAAGCGCACCTTGGGATACCATCCCTTCGTGTCGTGCTGTCATAGTTATTCACCTTAATATGATTAGAGTAGACTGGAGATTCTATAAACTCTTAAAAGAAGATCCTTGACTCGTTTTCCTTTCCTTTAAAAGAAAAGCCATTAAAAACTGAGACTGACATTCCAGTATTCCTTGGAGACCAAGGAACAGAGGAAGACCGGCTCTGATACCAAAATGAAACACCCTAACCAGACCAGGTACTACTTTTACTAAAATGCCCTTGATAAATAAAATACTCAAATCTTAAATTGCAGCGGGGAAAATTTTTCATAAGTAAAGTACTGAAACACACACTTGTAGCTCAGAGCAAAGCCCTAACATGTGGGCAAATTAAACTCAAACTTTAAAATCTCAATCTGATCTCCAGTCTATACTCATAATCATAAATGTAAATAACTAATAATCTCTAATTGTTGCTACTGAAACCTTGACTAAGCATCCTCTGTAACGCTGATACTGCTCTCCTCTAGCTGGCTTGCCTCGAACAGCGTTCTCGATCTCGCTGCTCACTAACTGCTCCTCCAGCTGCAACTATCGGTCTAGTTCTCGCTTTTCCTTTACTAAATCCTGGTTAGTGAGATGGGGTCAGTCTACGCCCTTACGTTTTACTAATTCTAACACTTGAGTACTTTACTTAGACACTTATCTTTGACCTGTGGAAGTTGTTTGTACTTCCAATCTTAAAATCTTAACTCTTAAACTTGGAGGGAGTTGAAGTTACTCTCCTCTCTTAAAGCTCAAATCTTGACTTAAATACTTGACCGACACGGGGATCCCTCACCAGCTAATCCAGTTGCCAACTCATACGTATGAGAAGCCATCCAAGCTTTCCTTAAACTTAGGGGTCGTTTGCTTCATGGATTTATAAACGAGGGTTTTGTAATTTAAAAACCCAAGGATTTATCAAGGATTTGAGGCATCATGGATTTGTAACAATCCTTTGTTTGTTGGGATGTTTTTATCATGGATTTAAAGGTGTGGGATTTACTACTTGAAGTCAAAAATTACATTATTGCCCTTTTCTATATGTTTGACATGTTTATGATATGTACACAAAACAAGGACAAAACTTCAAAATTACCTTACTATCATTTTCTATATGTTTGACATGTTTATGATATGTACACAAAACAATGACAATACATACTAATAAGCATAATGTTGCCACATGGACAATAATAATAAACGAGAAAATTCCGTTTTAACTTTTAACGTAATGTTGCCACATGGACAATAATAATAAACGAGAAAATTCCGTTTTAACTTCTAACTCATGTTTGCACATTAATTGAACGTTTATATTATTCATTTATTGTTAATTATAATGTATAATAGTTAAATTTGAGGGCAACCTTGGAATATTAAAAGTGCATGAGGGTATATGGGTAAAATGTCATCAAGGATTTATGCCATATTCCAAATCCCACATCAACATGTGGGATTTATAAGTCCGTGGGGTCCACGGATTTGGACCCTTAAAATCCGTGGGCCCCACGGATTTGGTCTCTAAAAAAGGTGCAAGCAAACAACGGATTGTACCTAAATCCTTGATAATTGGTTTTTTGGTACCAAATCCATGTACCAAATCCTTGAAGCAAACGACCCCTTAAACTTAGTTAGGGAAGTCGTAACTATTCATCCCCCTAACATCTTAAACTTATCGTGGTGGCTCTTCACCACGATTCTCAAGAGCATAACTGTTGCTCATCTTAAAAGTCTCAAGAGCATAACTGCTGCTCTATCTCAAAATGTCTCAAATGGCAACGGACTGGCGCTAGTGACTACAAAACACTTAAAAGGACTTCACCTTCTTGAAGGTGAGGTACTTCTTAAAAAGAACTTGTTTCTTAAACTTTAACAATAACTTATACTCAGGAAAATTTCAAGGTAAATAATAACCAGTCACTTCAAGTCATAATTCAAACAAAGCACATATCACCAACCATAATCATGCAATCTCAAACATGAATCAAATACTGCACATACATCACGCAAAGCAATACTCAAAAATACTCAAGGCAAATACTTGAAAATCGTAAAGCGTAGAATTTACCCCCTTTACACTCACCTTATTCTCCGTTGTTGCTTCTCATAGTAATTCGATATCCTTCATAGTTCCCAGGAAATACCATAAATCTTTATCAACGTCGAAAATGTTACAGCATAAAGTCTCCATTTCTCCGCCCGAGCACGATCATACAAGTTTGAGGTTTTTTCCACATTGCCAGCTCGGCCATAAGCATGTTGCAGGGTTCGTCATGTTATTGACCACAACCACAACATCTT